AGATAGTGCAAGGATCCTCTGGGACAACTTCAGTGTACCAACATCCAAATTATGGGGGTGCCAGAAAGAGAGAGAGAGCAAAATATTAAAAACCTATTAGAAGAAATAATGACAGAAACTTTCCCTACCTGGTGAAAGAAACAGACTTACAAGTCCAAGAAGCACAGTGAACCCCCAAACAATAGAAATCCAAAGAGGACCACACCAAGACATATCATAATTAAAAATGCCAAGAGCAAAAGACAAAGAGATAATCTTGAAAGTAGCAAGAGAAAAACAGTTAATTTCCTACAAGGGAGCATCCATACCAGCTGATTTCTCAACAGAAACTATGCAGGCCATAAGGGAGTGGCAAGAAATATTCAAAGTGATGAACAGCAAGAGCCTACAACCAAGAATATTCTACCCAGCAAAGCTATCATTCAGAATTGAAGGTCAGATAAAGAGCTTCACAGATAAGAAAAAGCTAAAGGAGTTCATCATCACCAAACCAGGATTACATGAAATGCTGAAGGGTATTCTTTAAGAAGAGGAAGAAGAAAGGGGTAAATATGAAAATTATGAACAACAAAATGACATCAAATATATACCTACCAACAAGTAAATATAAAAATCAAGTGAATAAAAAAATCTGATGGACAGAATGGACTGATGAATGTAATAGAATCAGGGACATAGAAAGGGAGTGGACTGACAATTCACATGGGGAAGCGGGTGTGAGGGGTACAGGAAGAGATTGGACAAAGGTCTTACACCTATGGATGAAGACAGTGGCAGGGGGTAAGGGCATAGGGTGAGGTGGGGTATCATATGGAGGGAAGCTATCGGGGATGGGGAGAAGAGGAACACCTATAATAATCTGAACAATAAAGATTTATTTAAAAAACAAACAAACAACTGAATTTAAAAATCAAATGAGTAAAAAATCTGATGAACAGAATAAACTGGTGAATGGAATAGAATCAGGGGCATGGAAATGGAACAGGCTGCCGAGTCTCAGAGGGAAGCGGGTATGGGGGGTGCAGGAAGAGATAAGACAAAGATCATATATGCATGTATGCAGTACCTATGGACATAGATAATAAGGTGGCAAGGGCCTGAGGTAGGGTGGGAACCTGGTGGTGGGGAGCTATGGGGGGAAAAAAGAGGGACATCTGTAATAATCTCAACAATAAAGACTAAAAAACTTAAAAAAAAAAAAAAAAGTAAGTGATAAGAAAACAAAGTATATGTTCTGGCTTCCATATGTGCAAATTTGCCAGAGTTGCAAAGTGAGTCAGTGCTATAGGAAGATGAACACAGAGGTGGTCGGGCTTTGAATCTTAAAAGAAGGCCTGACACGGTAAACTGACCTGGACAAGAGGTGCTCTAACAGAAAGAGGGACACCACAAATGGAAAACCCCCACAAACTCCAAATCAGAGGCACCTGTAATTCTACCCTGCATCACAGGAAGTCATCAAAAGCAACTATAAAGTATTAAAGGAAGTAAATGTTGGAAGTAAAAAGTTACTTAATGCCAAGCAAAAGAAATTGATAGACTAAGCTATGAAACTTATCCACAAAGTACTATTCAGCTATAATTAAGAGTAAGAAAGATTTCTATGAACTGATAGGATCTCCAGAATATATTGGGAGAAAACAGAATGTAAAGAATAGAGGCCACTATATTTTGTGTAAGAAACAAGAGGAATTTAAAAATTGTATAATATCAGTTTGTCTTTACAAATAGAAACACAAAATAATAAATCGAATTTTGGAACCATGTTATATTCTGCATATATTAAAAAGACAGATGAAAAGAAAAATCTAAAACTGAAACAAAATGAATACAATTGAATTTCAAATGAATTCATTAATTTTGGTGAAGAGAAATAAGACTAATCCAGGTAACATAGATGATTTAACCATGTTACCTCAGTCTTGGGCGGGAGGAGAGGAGAACTCCAAACAAATCCTAAACTCTCTTTAGCAGGTATGTTTCATGTAAAGATATGTGAAGCAATTTACAAAACATTTTAGATGTATTATAGATATGAGCAAATAAAAAAATGTCCTGAGGTTGTTAGAAGCAGGATTCTCACTGTGAAAGGGGGGATTGTTAGACAGTGAAGTATTTCATAAGTAGCAATAGCTATTATTTCAAGAAAAGCCCATTAAGTGATCTGTGAATGTCTGGTTAAAGTCCAGTCAGCACACGCTATAGCTACACAGGACCTAGGTCTTCTCTCCCCAGCCTAGGAAAGCCACTGGGCCTTGTCCCATGGAGCCACTGGGCACAGCAAGGGGCTCAATTGAGTCTCGAGAAACATCTTTACACTTAAAGTCAGAATCTAATTTATTTAAAGACACACAGTGAGCTATATATGGTTTTCCTGTTGACTCTCCTAATGATGCCTGGCACATGCACGCCTGAATAGATCTGCTGAAACTTCACAGCCTGAGCCCATTCTCTATAAAAAGCTATCGTCTCAATAAGAAAACCACCTTTTGTTTTCCGTTGCCCAGTCTCAGCCCAGGTGCACAAAAGGCTGCTCTGTGCCATGAGAGGGAGGTGGGAGCTGCGGTCAAGAGGAGCTCCCCACGTAGGGAAAGAATGGGCTGCTCCCAGGCAGCATTTACCAAAGCAACAGCTATTCCCTCAGTGACTTCTGGGTGCCAGCTGCCCTCTGTGTGCAGTGGTGGGACTCACTTTGCTCATTCATAGAAACAGACACAAAAAAGCAAGGGGGGAGGGGAAAGCGGGGGGGGGGGGGGGGGTAACCAACCAGGACACAAGGTAGAGAAGGTAGACAATGAGGAGGGACAATGAAAGAAAGGTGTCAGCCACAGATCAGTATCACAGGAAGCACTATCATGGAGCTGCCTGGGACAAAAGTGTTAAAGGAACAGCCAGAGGTGTGGGTCACCTATGGATGGAAAGGAAGGAGGGGGTGTGTGTGCCTGAGGAGGACTGGGAAAGGCTTTCTTAAGTGTGGTCACCTCCTCTCAGCTCTGGCAGAGGGGACACAGCAATCTGGAGGTATAGAGAAAGAATGCCATGCTCAGTGAGAGATGAAGCTTTGTCTAAAGCACACCCCTCTCTTCATCCTAGTCCCACTCTCCGAAAGCTGTTTTACAACCCTGTGAACTACAGTGAACTACAGTTAATCAGAGACCTGCTCACTCAATCTTGCCCAATAGTTTCGACTGACTATCTACCCCTTCCTCCTTACCACCTCACAGAAAAATGTTCAATTTCTTAGAGCTATTTTGACTTTTCCTCTGAATTGGTTGTTACAACATCTGCTTGGTTCTCTCATGCTAATAAAATAGACTGCTTAACCTATTTTCATGTTCATATCTATATGAGAGTCATAAATCTTACTTTTTTCTTAAAAATTATTCTTTCAGCAGAAGTCTTATCTCCCTTCTTCTGGATGCCTCCCAAGTGATCCCAAGCCTTAAGATCATCACTGCCATGAGACAGGAGGCCCATTTGCCTGGGAGGTGGGAAGGCACAGTGATTTCCCAACAGACACAGGGGAGCTTCACACCATTTTCGGAGCACTTGCTGTTGTGCACCAGCCTCTGCATGAAATGCTCCATGTTTAGTAACCTCATTTGCTACTAAAAAGACCCTGCATGGTAACATATTTTCCTCCTTTTCAAATTGGAACGGAGATTCAGAAAGATAAGACAGTTTGCTGCAGTCTCTCACCAAGAAAGTGCTGAATGAGGAATTTGATCAAAGTCTGCTTCTTACTTCCCAGAAAGCCTTACTTTGGTTTTTAATAAAGTTCCAGAATCTTTGTAGGATGGAGATTTAGTTTCTCTCTGAACACTGTGGAGAAATGCCAAAGAAGCAGGCAGCCTCCCAAATCCGAGAGAATTTTCAGAGCTCCTCCACGCTCCCTCTCTTTATTGCTGCTGCCTACTAATCACACTACCCATGATCAAACAGTGTTTGATTTCTCTCTGAATTCATGCTCTCCAACTTCAGTGTAGCCAGCATGGCTGGGAAATTCAACTAGTTTACTTCCTCCTTCCACTCTCCCCAAAGACAATTTCAAACCTTCTTGGCTTAAGCCTCCTCTGCTGAAACCTCTCTCCAGCTCAGTCTCCTTCCAACATGGCTTTGCATCTTACTTTGCAGAGAAAACAGAAGCCCTTTCATGCTTCCACTACAAGCTGCCCACCCATTCTTTTTCCTTCAGAATCCCTCCTGCTGGGGTTAATCCTGGGCTGGGCTTTGGATCAACCCTCTCTACCCCTTTACTTTCTTCTCTCTTCTTTTTTAGTATCATCAGTTTCTTATTCTACTGAGTAGTTTCTCCTTATTGAGTTAATTTTTTTATTGTCATAAAATATACAGTCACACTGTTGTATAACCAGCACCACCAGCCAGCCATCTCCAAAACCCCCCAAGCCCTGAAAACCACCATCCTACTTTCTGTCTCTGTGAATAGACTGCTCTAGGTGTTTCATATAAGTGATATCATACAATATTCGTCCCTTTGTAACTATCCTCCCATTGACTGTTAAACATATTCAATTCTCTCCAATATTAAAAATTAAAATAACAAAATCTGGTCCTGGATCCCTTCACTCTCCAGTGATTGCCCTATTTCTCTGCCTCTCGGAGCCAAATGGCCTTCCCTATGCTGTTGCCTCTCCTTAAAAAATTCTTGAGTGTCTTCTCCTTCTCTTACTCCTCATTTTTTCTGACTTCCTTGACTAGGGAAAATTTACCTCTTATGAACTCTGCTAGCATCTTGACCCTCTCCTTTATGGTTCTCAATTATAACTTTGAATATCTTTGTATGACTATTTGATTGTATCAGTTAGTAGAATAAAATAGGTCCAAGTCTGTTTGCTCACCATTTTATCCTCCATACCCATCTCACACATAAATATAAGGGTAGCTAACATTTATTGACTTATGTGCCAGATACTTCTTTCTTGGCATGGATTGTCTCACTTATTCATCAAAACAACTCTACCTGCATAAAGAAATTTTACCTGAGAGTTCATCAGGCGAATGGTGGTTTTCATGCCCACATCCTGTTGAAAGTTGGCTGTGGGTGCCCCATTAAGCCTCAGGACTGCATCATGATCATCTGTAAACCACAAGGAAACAAGAAGTGATGAGTACCAGCAATATGCAGAAAGAGAAAAGATTTTGGGGAGAGAGGGCAGAAGGAAGAGGAGAGGCAAGAGAATAGTAACTTCCCAATCTTTATCCTATTGTGGTACCCAGGAAGAAATTATCATTTCCATATGGTGCAATTGGGTAAAGTTCATAGACAGAGATGACCACCTGTCTGCCTGGTCACTACAAGGACTAAAGAAGTCTACATCATGGCATTCCTGAAATACATTCAATAATACCAGTATGTTTAGGCACAGTGGAAAAGTGAATGGATCCAGTGGAATCACTATTCTACTTATTAAAGGAGCAAAACCAAAAATACTTTTTTGGCATTGCCACTTCTATCACTGTCAGACAAATGAAGACACTAACATAAGTTCAGTCTAACCTATTCGTACAAGTGCCCAACAAATGGGAAGGATTCACTGTGGCATCCAAGACTATTTAGGAATCTGAAGCCCAGGAAAAGTCACAAACCTGGTGGTGGCAGAGAAGAAAGAGAAGAGCTAAATTAAACCTCATATTTTTGTTTTTTTAAAATATATATATATATCATTTTAAGAAACAATGTCCTAAATCTAGCTAATATCAAACAGACCATCTTAAAATAATTTACTCATTCCCTGGCTCTCATCTATGCAGCTGTTAAAGCAGAGTTTGCAAGACTTGGAGAAGTTGACTGACATTGACCAATTCCATGGGAGAGAGAACTAATGACTTTTAAAATTCATCCCAACCCTAAGCCTCTGTGATCCCATGAGAGTTCATCCCAACTATACTTGATCAAGCAAGTTTAGGTTCACCACTAAAATCTGCACAGATTTGGAGGTCAGCCCAGTCATTCATGGTTCTATTTCTTTTGCATGGTTCTATTTTGGGTGTTTATCTGCAAAGGTGGCATCAGGAGGAAGGAAGTAGATGTGGACATGTGTTTCAAAACAAGATGATCTGAAAGGAGAATACCCACAGAATTAAGAGAAGAAAACCTTATCCTTTATTTCAATTCTAACATTCTTGCAAAACCTTAGGAATCTAGACCTCTCTTTCACAACAATCCTATCACTCATCCTTGGACAAAATCTTATCAGAAGCACTTGAAAGTTGCACGACAAGTGCATAGTCCAAACTTTCTTCATCAGCTTACAGAGCAGGCACAGTGAACTATAAACAGAACAGGAGATACATCTTTATATAACTCTGTTTGCAATAAGTTTTGTCAAAAGCAATCCCTGGTTTCACAGGTGACTAGTAGTAATCATACTAGAAATGCAGATCCATCAAAAACTTCACTTAGTCAACTTTCCTGTTTCACAGGTGATAAATGAGTAAGTTGAGGGTCCCACTAGGATAGAATTACTCAAATTGAGTACTAATCGAGTGTTGAATAAAAGGACTATTTACAAAGTTGTAGGTAGAGTTTAAGGAAATCAGCAAGGAATGGAGCAATACCCCAGGGTTGGCAACAGCAGGAAACCATTACTAACCCTACAGCCAATATAGCAAGAGAAGCAGTAAGTAGGCCACCTGTTGGGAACTGTGGACTTTAAAATACAGCTACTGTTAATGTCCTGCCAGCAAGAAAAGAATCAATACCTCAACCAATATTTCCTTCTTCCTGCTGATTTCTAGACCCTGAAGAGGAAAGAGGAAGAGTAGGATCTAGAGATAGCGAGGGGTGTTTGAAAAGGGCTGAGGCTTTCAGTCAAGGAGAAGCAGCAGCTTGTGGTTACTCTATGGCAAGTGACCCTGGGAGACAGCCTCACCTCACTCACCTTCTTTTCAGTTTCATACCAGGACCTCTATTGTCCAGCCCCAAATAAAAGTCGGAGTGTGAGGAAGCCCAGTTGACACAGTGCCAGATTTCAATTTCCCAGGCCACAGAGTCAGACACAAAAAGTAGAGTGGATTTAGAAGGGCAAAAGGAGTACAGGAGGCTGAGAATAGGTCCTTGGTGCTCACCATAATAAGGGAGAATTTTGTGTTCCTTCAATAAATACATAGTCCTAGGTGCTGAAGACAATGGCTGTGAGCAAGAAAGGTTAAAGTCCTTGCCTGCAGAGATCTCGTGATCTACTGCAAGGAGAAAAACAGTAAAGAAGCACAACAACCAGTATTCAAGATAATTACCGATTGTAATTAATACTATGGCACAAATAAACTGAGCTGTGTAACAGAGACTCTTTGAAATCTCCTTCAGATAGGGTGATGTTTCAGGGAATGCCTCTAGCTGAGACCTAAAGTCTGGCTAGGACTGAGAAGGGCCCAGGGAAGTACATTTCAACCAGATGTCACAGCAGTGTGAAGACCCAAAGAGAGCAAGGATTTGGCTGGATATAACTGCATAGAAGATTTAACAGAATCAGATCATTAATAAATTCTTAAATACATGAAAATTCACTGCCTTCAGGTATAGTAACTCCAAATTGCTGGAAGTTGTGGTAAAAGAAATTTTATCACATTTTGAACCAAACATTTTTTATATTTCAAATTAGCTTAATGAATTATAGAACTACTAGAGGCCCAGTACACAGATTCATACACTGGTGGAGTCCCTTGGCCTGGTGTGTACCCTCTCACAATCCAGGACCTCTTAGTGGATGTTGGAGGTCCAGTGCACATATTCGGCCTGATACCCGCAGGCCAGGCTGAGGGACCCTGCTAGAGCAGAATCCGTGCACCAGACCTCTAATATGCATAAAAGATTTTTGGTTAATCTCTTCCCACCCTCCCTCTTCCTCTCCCCCCTGAGATTCATCAGTCTGTTTCATGTTTCCATACCTATACATTAAGCATCTGCCCCCCTGACGGTCAGTGCACATCATGGCTACTGTTTGTACGTTCAAATGGTCGGTTAGGCTTTTATATATATAGAAAGATTTGTGGAAGACGGCATTCAGACTCTGGTTAGGGAAATTAGATATGCAGGTCACAGTGGCCAACCATGGCCCATCAGCCAAATATGAACAGACCTCTGTTTCTGTAAAGTTTTACTGGAACTCAGTCAGGCTCATTCATTTACTATTGCCTATGGCTGCTTTTGCATTACAATAACAGAGGCAAGTAGCTGTGAAGAATACTGTATGGTTTCAAAACTAAAAATATTTTGTTACTGGTCATGTACAGAAAACATTTTCTGAGCCTTGACATAAATAATCATGCTCTCTGAGCTCCTCAGTCTAAGGATTCACTCTGCCAAAGAACTCATCTGCCCAAATGCCATACCCCTCTGCCTTCCATTGCATGGTTCACTCCTGGTTTTCCTCCAGTTCTTCTCACTGGCCTTTGGGGTGTTTTTCAGGGTGGTGAGGGTGGAGAGGGGTAGAGAATGGAAGGGGATGGCCTGATCCTGTTCTTGCCCTGTCCTTTATATGTAAACTATTTTCTAGGTTTTCTCATCAGTCCTCTTTCCTGGACTACAACTATCACCTTAATACAAATTACCCCTAAATCTGACTCTTCTCAAAAGCATATATCCAATTGCATAGATGTCTACCTAGGAAAATACACTTGAGACTCAGTACATTCAAGACAGAACCTTTCCTCACCAGAAACATGCTGCCCTATGATATGTTATAGCCAGCTCCCAGGCTGGAAACTCCAGCTCCTGTCTCTCAATCTAGGTCATTTCTAGTCAGACAACAAGTTTTATGTCTTCTATCTTATTATGCCTCTCAAATCATACCTGCTCTTTCCACTACCACTACCACTACCACTAACATTACCACTACCACTAGCACTGCTCAAATAGCCCTGACCCATCTCACCTCTATGTGGCAATAGTCTCCAATAAGGGAGAGATAATATAGCATTGTTCATAGAGAAGGGGACTCAGAGAAGGGAGAAATCTCTCTAAATGCACATTATCCCATCTGTCACTTGCTCAAAAACTTTCTAGATCTCTCTATGACTTTAGAAATGAACACACCCCCCTCCGCAAAAGAAAGAAAGAAAGAAAGAAAGAAAGAAAGAAAGAAAGAAAGAAAGAAAGAAAGAAAGAAAGAAAGAAAGATGAAACCCAAAGTTCTTATTATGACATTCAATATTTTCTAAGAGCTGAGCCCTGGCCATCATCCTGGCCTCATTCCTCAGTCCTCCATAGCCCATGAGAACCCCCCCATCCCAGCCAAACAAGATTATCTGTTATGCTCTAACACACTTTGTACTTTTCCCCCTGGGGTCTCTGCTTCTGTTCTTTTTGCCTCAACTAGAATGCTCTTTTTTCCTCTAGGAGAGCAAGTAACCAAGAACATCAAAGGATTTTTCTTAACCTGGCAAGGCATACATCATACCAATATTTTTATAAAGCTACAGTCACTATGAGGCACAAGAGCAGAAGGACTAAGTATGAGGGCCTTTGAATCAATGACTGGGGTTCAGGTCCCAGTCTGCTGCTAATCAATTGTATTACCTCTTTAGGCCTCAACATTTTAGCTCATCAGTTAAATGGGAACAATAATCACACCTATTTCCCAGGATGGCTGGGAAGATGAAAAGAGCAAGCAAGGCATGTTAGATACACTGCAGATGCAAATAAGAATCACTCTTACTGGTTGTAACATTAAAAAATATGCTATTGTTTGAAATTAAAATGCAAACAAATCTACAATACTTTACATGTATATCTACCAAAAAAGACTGAAAATGACTGAGAGCCTCCCACCCCCACCCCATTGGCTAGTTTATGGGACTGCTGGAGACACAGTACATTATTACAATCCCTCTGGTAAACAATTTTGCCATGGACAACAAAAAGAGCCATAAAATTTATCTTACTTTGGTCTTCTAGTCTCATTCCTGAGGTTATTTCCCCTTGGGAGGGCAGACATAGTTACATGTTATCTACTCCAGAACCGTGTCAGCTGTACTATTTGTAAGAGCAAGTCATTTGAAACCATCTGATATGTTCATTAGTTAGGAACAAGCTAGGCAAATCCCAAGAATAGCGGAAAGGCTTTGGGCCTGGCATGC